GACACCGTGACTTGAGAAATATTGGTGCAATTTGGGGGCTTGGCATGCAACCTTTTGTGCCCTCAGGTGGGTCTGCCTGGCCCAAAAAAGGTGTCTGAGGAGTGGGTAAACCAAGCAGGGCACCTCCGCACAGGACTGGCCTGGACACTCTGCTGAAGCAGGGAAATGCGAGCTGGAAAGTCTGGGCAGGACCCCAGGACATAAATCAAGGCAACCTGCCTGTTGGTGAAGTGGGCCCGTCACCCAGCCAAGAAGGGCGCTTTGCCATTCTGCCCAGGGACATTTAATATGGCAGCTGTAATGTCCAGCTTAAGGAGATGGTATTAGGGAAATATTGAAAAGCTGTGGGATGCCCGCAGGAGGGAACCTGATCAGGGTCTGCACAAGGTATTTCCTCAGTTTGCACTTAGGAAAGCCGGGAGAAGCCAGGCACAAATCCTTCCTGGCACCGATGAGCCCATTACCACGGTGTCAGGTCTGTAGGGAAGGTGCACAGTGTTCCAGAATGGAGTTTGTCCTGGAAACACAGACATTTTGCAGGCAGGGGATCAACATGTCCCTGACTCTCACTAGGGAAGGCTATGGGAAGCCAAGGGGACACAAAGGGGGAATTAACTCCACAGGATCAGCCCAGGGGGTTGGTAACTGTTCAAAAAAGCATGAGGGACAGGGACATGACCCAAACCACGTTTGGCAGATATAGTTTGGGTGTGGAAGAAAAATCCATCTGCAAATGCATTTAGATGTTCACACATCCGATGAATGTGGTGCTTGCTGGTCATGTTGGGCAGTGGTAAGGGTCTGAGACCTTTCCTTGGCTGTCCTCAGCTGTCCTGATACTACAGGTGAGGACAGTGAGGGACACCAGCTTCCTATGCCATCCAGCTCCTCGGAGCAGCTCTGGACCACCACCTTGTCATCGTGGGCAGGGTGCTGGGACTGTCCCTCACAAGCCAGCTGCCCTGGCCATGGGGCAGGCAGCTTTTGCCCTTGGGGTCGTTCTGCACAGCTCCCATACACATTGGTTGCAGGTGCAGCAGAGTTCTGGTGGATTTGGCGAAGAGCAGGTGACTGCCATGGCTCCACCAACATCTCCAACTCCACAGTTTCTGGTTTCCTCCCTACTTCTGGGTCATAAAGGAGAGGAAGGGGATTTCAAGAGCAAAGAATGCTGCAAGATCATGAACCAAAGGAGCACAAAGCTTGGCCAATGCCCTGAGACTCCTCCATCACCTGGATTCTTAATATAAAACAGAAACAAACCACGTCACCACAAAAGGGAGAACGGGAAAAGCCGGGGGATTCCTGGACCTCAGAGTTTTCCCAGCCCACCTTACCTTTCACATCAAGTTTGCAGTCTACTGAGGCTTCTCCCAAGGGGTTCACAGCTTTGCAGGTGTAGACACCCCCATCGAAAGGGCTGGCCTTGCGGATTTCCAGGGAGCAGACGCCCTGCGCCATCATCGCTATGTACTTGGGGTCTTCCCGTATTTCCATCTGATTTTTCATCCAGATGATTTTGGGCTGGAAGGCAGCAGGGTTTTTCATTCAGGAAAAAAGCCCCAAAACACAGCCAGCTCCCACAGCCATTCCTTACCTTATCCAGGCCCTGCCTGAATGTGATAGCTCCATAGGATCAACAGTGAGGGGCAAGGTGAAAAGCCAAATCTACCAGCCCTGAGGTCTAACGACTGCCCCACACTTCTTCCCCAGTGCAGAAGGAAGCAACACAGCTAGAAGTGAAACCAGTCCACATTTCCACTGTGCAACCACCCAGACTTGTCTTGGTTTGTGTCAGAGGGCAGCTGCAACCACATAAATCAAACCCTAACCCAACAAAAGCAGCCATCACCCAGCACCTCCAGCTGCTTAGCAAAACCCACGTGCACAGATGATGTTCAAGGAGGAGAGATGCAGCTGCTGACCTTGGGGAAGCCCCGCACAGAGCAGAAGAGGTGTGTGCTGTAGCCCCGCGTGGTGGTTCGGTCTGTCAGCGGCTGGGTGAACTTTGGAGGCTCCAGCATGTCCCGTTGACGGATCTTCTCAGGCTGGTAGACAGTTTCTAGGAAATTGGGGCAACAGCTAGCTGGGTACCCTGGGCTGGCCAATGCATGCTCAGGAGAACTCAGCCCAGGGCATCCCAAAATACTTCTGCTCCCTCACAGAATAAGGCAAACAGCACCTAGCCTGACTCCAGAAACGTGTGTTCAGCTCTCAACAGTCCTGTCTATCCAATCTTCTCATCCAACCATGACATACTGGTACTGGCGGGGACAGTGCAAGGTCCTTGCAAGGGGAGGATGGCCATCTCTAAGCCAACTGTGATGCAGCACATCTATGCAGCAGGTGATATCCAGACCAGACAGCTCTAATTTCCTGCTCCACCACAGAAACAGAAGCTGGATGCCTGCTTTGCACGGTGGCCAAGACCCCGTCTCACTACATGTTACCAGAGAGCAGGATGGAAATGGATAGGAGCAGATCAGGATTGAGAGACGCTGGATTTAAGCCCTGGTTCTGAGAAGGACCATTTCAAGGGTCTCTTCCTCCATTTGCTTTGAATGATGGGCAAAGCTGAGGCTGTTCCTCACCCTTTCTTACTGCTGCTTCAACCTCACCCTGGGGAAAGGAGGAAAGGTAGCCTAGCTCTGAATCTTTGCCTCCCAGCAACTTGTCCCAGTCCTGGGACATCTTCCCTGCTCAGGCCACATTGTGCCCTCTCAGACTCCCACCCAGTAGGAAGCAAACCTGGTGCCAGGGACCCCACAACCCATTTGGGTCCTCCTGCAAGGTAGGCTCGGACCAGCGGATGGGCTTGGGGCCAGGATGGTCATGTCCTGATCCTTCCCAGCAGCCTGGCCACAGCACCAGCCTTTCCCAGAGGAGACAGGACACCTCCCACAGCCCACCCCAGCATCAGGGCCCTATCCTCACTTGTCTTTTGGATGTGGGCTGGCTTGGGGGTGACGGCTGCTTTCTCACTCATCCCGCAGGCATTCTCCGTGAACACTCGGAAGGAGTAGGTGTTGCCTATGATGAGGTCAGAGATGGTGCAGCTGGTGCGAGTGCAGCGCTCCAGCACCGTGAACCATTGCTGGGGGGAAAGGGAGAACAGTAAGGAGAGGCAGAAAGATGATGGTGGGGAGACAACAGCAGCCGTTCCTCCCCTTCCCTCTGCGGAGCCCATTAGGGCACTCAGTTCCCAGAAGAGCCCAGACTCACCCCGCTCTTCTTGTCCGACTTCTGCACCAGGTAGCCCTTGATCTCGGAGTTGCCATTGTCTGCTGGGGGGCCCCACTCCAAGGCCACATTAAAGCCCCACACATCCACCAACTTCAGGTTCTGGGGGGGACCTGGTGGCTCTGCAATTATAAACCCTCATGGGTAACATCCTAATTTGCAGCCCCCCAAAATCCTGCCCTTTGTCCATTGCCTGCACGCTGCTTCTACTCTCTTCTTGTCCTATTGCAACACATGGAGCTGAGTTCTGCACAAGGACGTGGGCAAACAGAAACCCTGCATCCTCAACCAGAACAAATCAACATCAGAGTCTTCTACACAATGGAAGAACAACCCCACAGTCCCCCACCTTGTTGCTGTCTCTGCCTTTTCCCATCCAGTGCAGGAGCTGCCTCCAGAAATGAGACCTCGAGGACATTTCACTGTAAGCAAATAGGAGTGACCAGGAAGGGCCACATTCCCCATCTTACCAATCACTTGGATGTCCAAGGTGGCTTTGTCCTCCGCTCCATTTATCCGGATGGTGAGTTGGTATTTGCCAGAGTCAGTGCGCTGGGCCTCACGGATGAAAAAGATTGTGTCCTTCTCCCCATTACGGATGTTGACGCGTTTGGTGTCTAAGGGTTGGTCGTCCTTGGTCCAGATCACCTCGGGTTGTGGCTTTCCCTGGAACAACCCAGGACAGGCAGGTTAGGAGCTGCTTGAGAGCATGGTCCCAACCAGCCCTGCTGGAAGGGAGGGTGAGCAGAGCCACCCGAATATGTCCACACAGTTGTGGCCTGATACAGCATCTCCCACCCCTGGTACCCAGGGAAGAAACTACAGCTGATCCCAGCCAGCCCCACTGCTGGGAAGCTGCCAGGCTCTAGAGCTGACATTCCTGCACTGGTCTATGAAGCTGCCCCGGAGCAAGCCCATCTCTGTCTGCCCAGGGCTTTGCAGACAGACCTGAGCTCGCGTTGCCCAGGCTCTGAGCCCAGATTCAAGCCTGGCATAGGGGTTTGTATTCAGTGTCCAGGGCTGATTCACGCCTGGAGTGTGGCCAGCGCTGCCTCC